CCGCATGCAGGAGCGGCGCGCGGGCGTCCGCCGACGCCGCAGAAGGTGCAGCGGCATGCGGGCGGGGCATGCAGGCGGCATGCATGTGGGGCGTGCTGTGTCCACCGCCGCCGCACGGGGTGCAGCGGCATGCAGTCAGCATGCAAGCAGGGTGCGGTGGCATGCAGGCGGCGTGCATGTGGGGCGCTCTGTGTCTATGTCCGCCGCCGCTGAAGAGGGTGCAGCGGCATGCAGTCGGCATGCAGGTGGGGTCCAGGAGCGTTTTATTGACCCCCCGAAACTCGACCGAAAAGTCAACCAAATTTGGTTGATTTTTCTGTGGTAATTTAGGCGGGTCCAGGATCGTTTTCTGGACCCGAGTTGTGCACTTGTTCCTACCGTTGGCTGGCTTTCAAGCCGCAAATCAGTCCCCAAAACTCGTCCGAACAGTCAACCAAATAGGGTTGTTTTTTCTGTCATAATTTGGGTGGGTCCAGGAACGTTTTCTGGACTTGTGCACTTGTTCCTGCCGCTTTGCTGGCTTTCAGGCCGTAAAACAGTCCCCAGTCCGAATAATCAGCTAAATTAGGTTGTTTTTTCTGTGGTAATTTGGGCGGGTCCAGGAGCATGTTTTGGACCCGATTTGTGCAGGTGTTCCTGCCGATTGCAGGCTTTTAAGGCCGCAAATCGGTCCCCGAAATTCGTCCGAAAGTCAAATAAATTTGGTTGATTGTTCAGTGGTTTAGGCGGGTCCAGGAGCGTTTCTAGACCCGACTTGTGCACTTGTTCCCACCGTAGCTTTCAAGCCAAATCAGTCCCCAAAGCTCGTCCGAACAATCAAGTAAATTGGGCGTGTCCAGGCTCGTCCGAACAATCAACTAAATCTGGTTGATTTTTCTGTGACAATTTTGGCGGGTCCAGGAGCGTTTTTGGGACCCGACTTGTGCACGTGTTCCTGCCCTTTGCTTTTCAAGCCGCACATCGGTTTGCCAAACTCGTCCGAAAAGTCAATTAAATTTGGTTGATTGTTCTGTGATAATTTTGGCGGGTCCAGGAGCGTTTTTAGGACCCGATTTGTGCACTTGTTCCTGCCGTTTGCTGGCTTTCAAGCCCGCAACTCGGTCCCCAACTCGTCCGAAAAATCAACTAAACTTGGTTGATTTTCTGTGGTAGTTTGCGATAGCGGTCGGGACAAGTGCACAAACTGGGTCCAGAAAACGCTCCTGGACCCGCCCAAGCTACCACAGAAAGATTCAACGAAATTAAAATGATTTTTCGGACGAGTTTTGGGGACTGATTTTCAGCGCCAGCGAACGGAAAAGATCTCCGAGTTTGCTTGCAAGGGAAGCGAGTGTCAATACCATAAGTGGGCTATCACAACATCTTACAGCACACAGCCGGCGGGCAACGGCGATGGCAACAGCAGCAGCAGCAGCAGCTGCAGCAGCAGGTGTAGATAGGTGTAGCAGCAGCAGTAGTAGTTGTTGTAGCAGTAGTAGCAGTAGTAGTAGTAGTAGTAGTAGTAGCAGTAGTAGTAGTAGTAGTAGTAGTAGTAGTAGTAGTAATTAGTAGTAGTAGTAGTAGTAGTAGTAGTAGTAGTACAGGTAGCAGCAGGAGT